GATGGAACGATGTCGACTTTTGAGGCCTCTTATTGGCTCGTTCAGTCAACCAATAACCCAAAAACATTACAGGAATAAATAGCCATCATTCCCCTCTACAGTTTTCGTTCAAACATTTTGAATTTTCGCTGAGAATCGGGAGAAAAATTAGAGCTCGAAAGTCCCCATCCGAAATCTCCGTTTATCGACGATTAGAGATAAAATACTCAACTAAAATTCATGTTTTTTATATGGTTAGCTTCGTTTTTTAGTCCTCTATAGAACCCTAGTAGCCTTACGTTCCAGATTTCGTGTTTTATGGTTCGATTTTGAGGTTTAAAGTTTCGTTCGGTTTAGTTTAAAACTAAAACTTTAAATAAGAAAATGGAACTCATTAATTGACGAAAAATTGTGTTTTTTATGTCAAAATGTTGGTAAAAATATTACCAAAGGTTTTAGTACAAAAAAATGAAGAAAAAAGATCAAAAAACATGTCAAAATAGAGCTTAAAACGGTAAGAAACGCACAACCATGGGGCTGCTGTGTTTCTGGGTTGCGACTGGGTCGATAAGGCCCAGATCCAACCCATAAACTTGTGAAACCAACCTAGCAAAAATATTTATGGATATCTATTTAGAAGAAGTCAAACCCACAACCTCTAGTTGGTAGAGGCACGTCTTAACCACTCTAGTATGAGATCATTTCATGCTATTTAGGATTAGAAATTATTTATATTTAGTAATTAACTGATTTTTCTTAATAAATTTCTATTATAACCTCAAGAGTTTAGGAAACTAAATTTAACCTTTAAAACTTTCTTAACTACAAAAAGTTCTTTGAAAATTTTAGATGTGTAAATTTCAACTTTATTTTATTATTTGATTTTATAAAATTAGCAAAATGCCTCTAAAATTAAAGAGTGTATATTTTAAGCAATACGTGATCATTTTGTTTTATAAAAATACCTTCAAGGTTGAAATTTAGTACTTTAACAATGTAATTATTTGGGGATAATTAGAATAAATTATTTAAATAATTAGATGATTTTTTTATACGATTAAAGCGTAGCTCTTGAGTTATATATATATATATATATATATATATATATATATATAGGGGTGAGTTTAAATAAAAACCACTCAATTTGTAAAAACCGTGAAAACCTCATT